CTCAGGCCTCAAGTCCAAGTCCATTTTATCAAGTCAAGTCTCAAGTCCTAAAAACAGTGACTCAAGTCTGACTGTGGTACAGAGTAACAGTACTTTTACTCGAGTAACAGTAGTGCTTCCTCTTCCCGCTGTGAGTCTGAAGTGACAAAAGTTTCATGTGACGAACTGAACGTTTGTTTCCTGCAGCTGCTTCACGTCGACTCAGTCTGGATCTTTTCTGTCACTTTGAAAACTCCACATTTTCAAAGAACGAAAGACTTTTTTAATACTACTACTATAACTACAAATACTACTACTACTGTATAGTACTGTATAGTACTGTGAGTACTGTGAGTACTGTATAGTACTGTGAGTACTGTGAGTAGTACTGTATAGTACTGTGAGTACTGTGTACTGTAGTACTGTGTAGTACTGTGTAGTACTGTGTAGTACTGTGAGTACTGTATAGTACTGTGTAGTACTGTGAGTACTGTATAGTACTGTGTAGTACTGTGGTACTGTATAGTACTGTGTAGTACTGTGGTACTGTAGTACTGTATAGTACTGTGAGTACTGTGAGTACTGTATAGTACTGTGAGTACTGTAGAGTACTGTGAGTACTGTGAGTACTGTATAGTACTGTGAGTACTGTATAGTACTGTAGTACTGTTAGTACTGTGAGTACTGTATAGTACTGTGAGTACTGTATAGTACTGTGAGTACTGTGAGTACTGTGAGTACTGTATAGTACTGTGAGTACTGTATAGTACTGTGAGTACTGTATAGTACTGTGAGTACTGTATAGTACTGTATAGTACTGTGAGTACTGTATAGTACTGTGAGTACTGTGATAGTACTGTAGTACTGTGAGTACTGTGAGTACTGTATAGTACTGTGAGTACTGTATAGTACTGTGAGTACTGTGAGTACTGTATAGTGCTGTATAGTACTGTGAGTACTGTGAGTACTGTATAGTACTGTGAGTACTGTGAGTACTGTAGTACTGTAGTAGTACTGTGAGTACTGTGAGTACTGTAGTACTGTGAGTACTGTGAGTACTGTGTAGTACTGTATAGTACTGTGAGTACTGTGAGTACTGTGAGTACTGTATAGTACTGTGAGTACTGTGAGTACTGTGAGTACTGTGAGTACTGTGAGTACTGTGAGTACTGTATAGTACTGTATAGTACTGTGAGTACTGTATAGTACTGTGAGTACTGTAGTAGTACTGTGAGTACTGTGAGTACTGTGAGTACTGTATAGTACTGTGAGTACTGTGAGTACTGTATAGTACTGTGAGTACTGTGAGTACTGTGAGTACTGTGAGTACTGTGAGTACTGTATAGTACTGTGAGTACTGTAGTAGTACTGTGAGTACTGTGAGTACTGTGAGTACTGTGAGTACTGTGAGTACTGTGAGTACTGTGAGTACTGTGAGTACTGTGTAGTACTGTGAGTACTGTGAGTACTGTGAGTACTGTAGTACTGTGTAGTACTGTGAGTACTGTGTAGTACTGTGAGTACTGTGAGTACTGTATAGTACTGTGTAGTACTGTGAGTACTGTATAGTACTGTGAGTACTGTAGAGTACTGTGAGTACTGTGAGTACTGTGAGTACTGTATAGTACTGTGAGTACTGTAGAGTACTGTGAGTACTGTGAGTACTGTGTAGTACTGTGAGTACTGTGAGTACTGTGAGTACTGTGAGTACTGTGAGTACTGTGTAGTACTGTGAGTACTGTGAGTACTGTGTAGTACTGTGTAGTACTGTGAGTACTGTAGTAGTACTGTATAGTACTGTGAGTACTGTGAGTACTGTGTAGTACTGTGTAGTACTGAAGAAGTGTCAGACACGTGTAGAAAACAGGAGGAGGTTTTTACTTCATAATAAAACAGTTGTACAAAAATCTCTTCATACAAACAAACGACACGAAAAAAATCAGACGAACATAAATACAAATAAATTAAACAGAAACTCGCTAAAAACAAACGAAAGAACAACAGGAACAAGAACCAGACCAGGACTAAACCAGGACTAAACCAGGTCTAAACCAGGACTAAACCAGGTCTAAACCAGGACTAAACCAGGACTAAACCAGGACTAAACCAGGTCTAAACCAGGACTAAACCAGGACTAAACCAGGACTAAACCAGGACTAAACCAGGACTAAACCAGGTCTAAACCAGGTCTAAACCAGGACTAAACCAGGACTAAACCAGGTCTAAACCAGGACAAAAACCAGGACTAAACCAGGACTAAACCAGGTCTAAACCAGGACTAAACCAGGACTAAACCAGGTCTAAACCAGGACTAAACCAGGACTAAACCAGGACTAAACCAGGTCTAAACCAGGTCTAAACCAGGACTAAACCAGGACTAAACCAGGTCTAAACCAGGTCTAAACCAGGACTAAACCAGGACTAAACCAGGACTAAACCAGGTCTAAACCAGGACCAGACCAAGACTCAACCAGAAATGGTCTAATTCTGGTCTACTCCTGGTTTAGTCCTGGTTTAGTCCTGGTTTAGTCCTGGTCTGATCCTAGTCCTGATTCATTCCTAGTCTGGTTCTGGTTTAGTCTTTTTCAAGTGTGTGTGTGCTGGTCCAGTCCTGGTCCAGTCCTGGTCCTGGTTTAGTTCCGTCTCAGGTTTAGTCCCGGTCCTGGTTCTGTTTCAGGTTCTGTTTCAGGTTCTGTTTCAGGTTCTGTTTCAGGTTCTGTTTCAGGTTCTGTGCTTGGTGCTTCACACTGACAGGTTTGTGTGGTGAGTTTGGTTCATTTTTGTTGGTGTGAAAGTGTCAATCAGACTCGGACCCGAAGCAAATCAAGCGGATCGAGACCTCAAAAAGAGGTGGTCTCAGGTCGCTTGAATCTGCACCAAATGCTAAACTCTGGTGCGGTTCCTCTGGTGTGAACGTGAACTCAGGTCCAAACGGACTAATCCAAATGCATCATGGGAGGAAACGCGTCTCTTCTGCCTAAAACGTGGCCGTACGACTTGAGCTTCTCCAGCGCAGAAACAGACGCGACTCTTTTTCAAATGATTTTACCAACAATGACCAAAACAGAGAATGAAACACACGAAGATCAGAGCAAGAACCAGTGTGTGAACGTGTAACTCTGGTCAGGACCTGCACACACAGAGACGACCTGGTGTTCCCCGAGATCATGAACCAACAGCATTGATTATTTTACACTTTTAATTAACCAAATCATTTTATGGCAATAAACAAGAGTCCAGACCCAGAGTCCAGATCCCAGACCCAGAGTCCAGATCCCAGACCCAGAGTCCAGACCCAGAGTCCAGACCCAGAGTCCAGACCCCAGACCCAGAGTCCTGACCCAGCAGGAGCAGGTCTGGTTCTGTCCGGGCTCAGATGTCAGGAGCCTCTTCACTCGGGAAGAACCAAATGTGCGGCTTCACCCTGGACTCACGCTTCTGTCCGGACGCTGCACCACCTCAGAACCTGCGGAGCCGCGGTTCTTGAGTGTGGAGAAGCGGAACAGCCCACCTGGACCTGTAGTCCACAGCACAGTCTCACTTTCCCCCACAGAACCAGCGCAGATGGAACAGTCCGCTCGGACCCAGTCACTGCTCTGGTCTTACTCGCCACCGTCTGGAACCAGCACATGGACGACAGAGGCTCCGGACCATCTGACCAAGGACCGGACCCCAGCCCCAGCCCCGTCCTGAGGAGCTGCCGCTGTGGTTCTGTGGCAGATCTTCTGCTCCGGGCTGATGTGGTGAGTTTGTACAAAGTTCTACATGTTCCTGTTTGATGAGTTGATGAAGACGGCCCGAGGTCTGAACACGAAACATCACTGTTGATGACTGGAGGTATCGAAGTTCTACCAGGAAACAGAGACGCGTCAACTGGACCAGTTTTGGTTGGTTTGTCGGTGTGAACGTGGATCAAACTGGAGTCTGAGCTACATAAGAACTATTTTATTGTCTGGTGCAACCAAATAATCAAACTAGCAGAGTGAAAACGACCTTAGTCCTGGTCTGGACCTGGTCTTGGTTTAGTTCTTGTTTCAGATGTGCCTGCGCTGCTTTAGTCCTGGTCCTGGTTTAGTCCTGGTTCAGTCCTGGTTTAGTTCTGGTTTAGTCCTGGTTTAGTCCTGGTTTAGTCCTGGTTTGGTCCTGGTTGGGTCCTGGTTTGGTCCTGGTTTGGTCCTGGTCCTGGTTCAGTCCTGGTTCAGTCCTGGTCTGGTTTCAGTCCTGGTTCAGTCCTGGTTTAGTCCTGGTCCTGGTTTAGTCCTGGTTTAGTCCTGGTCCTGGTTTAGTCCTGGTTTAGTCCTGGTCCTGGTTCAGTCCTGGTTTAGTCCTGGTTTAGTTCTGGTTTAGTCCTGGTTTAGTCCTGGTTTAGTCCTGGTTTAGTCCTGGTTTAGTCCTGGTTTAGTCCTGGTCCTGGTTTAGTCCTGGTCCTGGTTTAGTCCTGGTTTAGTCCTGGTTTAGTTCTGGTTTCAGATGTGCGTGCGCTGCTTTAGTCCTGGTCCTGGTTTAGTCCTGGTCCTGGTTTAGTCCTGGTCCTGGTTCAGTCCTGGTTTAGTCCTGGTTCAGTCCTGGTTTAGTCCTGGTTTAGTCCTGGTCCTGGTTCAGTCCTGGTCCTGGTTCAGTCCTGGTTCAGTCCTGGTCTGGTTTAGTCCTGGTCCTGGTTTAGTCCTGGTCCTGGTTTAGTCCTGGTCCTGGTTTAGTCCTGGTTCCTGGTTTAGTCCTGGTTTAGTCCTGGTCCTGGTTCAGTCCTGGTTTAGTCCTGGTTTAGTCCTGGTTTAGTCCTGGTTTAGTCCTGGTTTAGTCCTGGTCCTGGTTTAGTCCTGGTCCTGGTTTAGTCCTGGTTCCTGGTTTAGTCCTGGTTTAGTCCTGGTTCCTAGTCCTGGTTTAGTCCTGGTCCTGGTTCAGTCCTGGTTTAGTCCTGGTTTTAGTCCTGGTTTAGTCCTGGTTTAGTCCTGGTCCTGGTTTAGTCCTGGTCCTGGTTTAGTCCTGGTCCTGGTTTAGTCCTGGTCCTGGTTTAGTCAGTCCTGGTTTAGTCCTGGTTTAGTCCTGGTTTAGTCCTGGTTTAGTCCTGGTTTAGTCCTGGTCCTGGTTTAGTCCTGGTCCTGGTTTAGTCCTGGTCCTGGTTTAGTCCTGGTCCTGGTTCAGTCCTGGTTTAGTCCTGGTCCTGGTTTAGTCCTGGTTCAGTCCTGGTTTAGTCCTGGTTTAGTTCTGGTTTAGTCCTGGTCCTGGTTTAGTCCTGGTTTAGTCCTGGTTTAGTCCTGGTCCTGGTTAGTCCTGGTTTAGTCCTGGTTTAGTCCTGGTTTAGTCCTGGTTTAGTCCTGGTTTAGTCCTGGTCCTGGTTTAGTCCTGGTCCTGGTTCAGTCCTGGTTTAGTCCTGGTCCTGGTCCTGGTTTAGTCCTGGTCCTGGTTTAGTCCTGGTCCTGGTTTAGTCCTGGTCCTGGTTTAGTCCTGGTTTAGTCCTGGTTTAGTCCTGGTCCTGGTTTAGTCCTGGTTTAGTCGGTCCTGGTTTAGTCCTGGTTTAGTCCTGGTTTAGTCCTGGTCCTGGTTTAGTCCTGGTTTAGTCCTGGTTTAGTCCTGGTTTAGTCCTGGTTTAGTCCTGGTTTTAGTCCTGGTTTAGTCCTGGTTTAGTCCTGGTCCTGGTTCAGTCCTGGTTTAGTCCTGGTCCTGGTTTAGTCCTGGTTTAGTCCTGGTTTAGTCCTGGTCCTGGTTTAGTCCTGGTTTAGTCCTGGTCCTGGTTTAGTCCTGGTTTAGTCCTGGTTTAGTCCTGGTTTAGTCCTGGTCCTGGTTTAGTCCTGGTCCTGGTTTAGTCCTGGTTTAGTCCTGGTCCTGGTTCAGTCCTGGTCCTGGTTTAGTCCTGGTTTAGTCCTGGTTTAGTCCTGGTTTAGTCCTGGTTTAGTCCTGGTTTAGTCCTGGTCCTGGTTTAGTCCTGGTTTAGTCCTGGTTTAGTCCTGGTTAGTCCTGGTTTAGTCCTGGTTTAGTCCTGGTTTAGTCCTGGTTCAGTCCTGGTTTAGTCCTGGTCCTGGTTCAGTCCTGGTTCAGTTCTGGTTCAGACGTGCGTGCGCTGCTTTAGTCCTGGTCCTGGTTTAGTCCTGGTTTAGTCCTGGTCCTGGTTTAGTCCTGGTCCTGGTTTAGTCCTGGTTCAGTTCTGGTTCAGACGTGCGTGCGCTGGTGCTTCTTGAGCGTGTCTCCGTCGCTGAAGCGGCGTTGGCAGTGGGCGCAGGCGTAGGGTCTCTCGCCCGTGTGCACCCGTAGGTGGCGCCGCAGGTTTCCTCTCTGGCTGAAGGCGCGGGCGCAGAAGCCGCAGCGGTGCGGGCGCTCGCCCGTGTGCGTCCTGAGGTGGCGCCGCAGGTCGGCCGACTGGGAGAAGGACTTGCAGCAGAAGTCGCAGCAGTGGCTCTTCTTGGGCTGCTGCAGGTGGAGCAGGAGGGCGGAGCCTGAGGGGAAGGTGTCGCTGCAGCGAGGACAGCGGGGGGCGCTGTGGGGCGGGGACACCTGCAGGACACACGAGGAACAACAGCCTGTCAAACTCTTTAGAAAACCTTTACAGTGACGTCACGCCGGGGGGGCTCCGCATGTGTGACTATGGCTGAATGTTCAGCGGTTACCATGGAGACACAATAAACACATTCGCTATAACTACCAAAACATTTTAATCGTCTAAATCTTCTGATCTCCTAAAAATAGTTTGTCCAGACGTCCCTGAGTCTCTGTCCCTCAGATTTACACAAAACCACTGATCTGTCCCAGTTTATACAGAAATGTCCCAGTGTGTCTCTTTTTGACAAATCTGACCCTGAGAAACATAAACTGACATTTGTTTGGATAAAATACAAAAAATCTGCTTAAAAACGACAAAAGACAAAGAAAATGTGACGATACTGACTCATGTTCATCATGAATGGGCCGAGCGCAGAACAGTTTTCCATATTTCCAAACTTGATTCACCCCAAACTGGGGTGAATCAAGTTTCTGATTTTGAAAATCTGGTCACCCTAATCTAAAAACACTAATGTATGTAAAAAACACTAAATGGAGTGTGTCAAAATGAAGCTGAGATTAAAGTCGAACTTGTATAAGAGAGTTTGAGACAGTCACATCACACTCCCAACGGTCCCAACAAGTGTCTATAAACTCTTTTTTTCTATTGGCTGAAGTGTCGCTGTTGGTCTGTGGAACTTCTGGTTAATGTTTTACTGTGTGTGTAAATGTGTGTGTAAATGTGTATGAAAAGTGAAACATTTACACACACATTTACACACTTACACATTTACACACACATTTACACACTTACACATTTACACACACATTTACACACTTACACATTTACACACACATTTACACAGAAAAACATGAACCAGGAGTTCCTCAAACCGACAGTGGGACACTTCAGACGATGTGAAAAAGTTCTAAAATGAGGATGTTCCGAGGGCAGAAGGGAAGTGAGGAAGAACCCTGGACCTTTGTAAACGGTTTCACACGAGCTGCTTCTGTTTTTCATGTTTTCGAGACAGAAAAATGTTCCAGAATAAAGCTCAGTCACAGTCAGAGTCCGAGTCCGAGTCACACGTCTGATCCTGACCTGGTCCACGGGGGGCGCTGTTCTCTCCGTCACAGCTCTGTGCTCCGGCTCCGTCTTCACCCACGACACCGGCTCCTCTCCTCCCTCGCTCCCTCGCTCCTCCTCTCCTCCGTTAATCCCTCTCTCCTCCTCTCGCTCCTCCTCTCCTCTCTTGTCCCGCTCTCCTCTCCCCTCTTCTGTTTTTGCCTCTCGTCTTTCGCTCCCTTTCTCCTCCTCTCTTCTCACGTGCTTCCCTCTCTCCTCCTCCTCCTCCTCTCCTCTCTTTCTCCCTCTCTCCTCCTCTCCTCTGTTGCTCCCTTCTCCTTCTCTTCTCTCGCTCCGTCTCTCCTCCCCGTCGCTCTCGTTCACCCCTCGCTCCTCCTCTCCTCTTTCGCTCCCTCTCTTTCTCAGTCTCTCGCTCAGTCCCCTCCTCTCCTCCTCTCCTCTCTCCCTCCCCCTCTCCTCTCCTCCGCTCATCCCCCTCTCCTCCTCTTCCTCCTTCACTCTCCCCGGAGCCGCGGTCAAAGCTCTGGCCCCCGGGCCGTCCGCGGTCCGTCGTGAGGAGACCGGCGGCTTCTTCGCGTCGTCCGAGCGAGAACATGAGACCGTGTGAGTCACCTGCACCGACCAAACACACGTTAAACCCGGACGAGACCGAGACGAGACCGAGACCGAGACCAAGACCGAGACCGAGACCAAGACCTTTGAGGGTCGAGACCGAGACCACAGGTTCCTGAACATCGATCCAACTTGTGACTGGTGTAAAATAACAGAAGGTACAAACTTTCACACATTCTGGACCTTTACCAAATTGATCCCTTTCTGGACTAAACCAGGACTAAACCAGGTCTAAACCAGGTCTAAACCAGGACTAAACCGGGACTAAACCGGGACTAAACCGGGACTAAACCAGGACTAAACCAGGGACTAAACCAGGACTAAACTGGGACTAAACCAGGACTAAACCAGGACTAAACCGGGACTAAACCAGGACTAAAACCAGGACTAAACCAGGACTAAACCAGGACTAAACCGGGACTAAACCAGGACTAAACCAGGACTAAACCAGGACTAAACCAGGTCTAAACCAGGACTAAACCAGGACTAAACCAGGACTAAACCAGGACTAAACCGGGACTAAACCAGGACTAAACCAGGACTAAACTGGGACTAAACCAGGACTAAACCAGGGAACTAAACCGGGACTAAACCAGGACTAAACCAGGACTAAACCAGGACTAAACCAGGACTAAACCAGGACTAAACCAGGACTAAACCAGGACTAAACCAGGATTAAACCAGGATTAAACCAGGACTAAACCAGGACTAAACCAGGAACTAAACCAGGACTAAACCAGGCTCTTATGGATCGCTGCACATCACACTAAAAAAACTGAGATTATATATTTTGCTCATATCACTCAGTCCTACTTCACCTGATTCATCAGTCGGTTTCACTTGGTGGAAACCGTGTGACCTGCAGCTTTAGGATTTGTTCGTTCGACAGTAGACGGGGACTTTTTAATTATTTTTTTATTGAACCAATCGCTGCTGTTTGGTCGTGACGTTTGAAATGTTCTAAATCCTGTAGAAGAAGAACAAGAACGACTTTCCCCGAGATCAAATTCACCAAACATTCTCTTTGTTCAGACTTTAAATCCTCGGGTCTGGGGAATCGTTGACGACACAGAATGTCTGTCTCTTCTCTGATTGGCTGGAGCCTGAACTCACACTTCCAGGTTTTTGTAAATCGTCTAGAGTTTTCTGATTCTTGACCAAGAGCTGGAGAGAAATGAAACTGAGTGGAGGAACTTGGTGGCGCCGGCCTGGCTAAGTCCTACCTGGAGTTTATGTTTTTAGGTTCTTTTTTCAGACCCAGAGTTTGTTTTGGTCCTGACAGTTTGTTCTGCTCCCTGGATCTTCCTCAGGGTCTCGTGATGTTGCTGTGTCGTGTCGATCAGAAGGTTTTGGCAGGACGACAGCGCCACCTGCAGACGCACTTCCTCAGGACACAATCCCAGGCCCCATCGTCCCGGTTTATCGGGTATCACACTTTCATATTTTGATTTCCTCTTTAATCCAGCGTTGATGTTTGTTTTCCTCCGTCCCAGTCTGGTCCAGAATGTTCTTCTCTCTTTACAGCGTCACAAAGAGCAAAAGGGAAATTCAATTTGTCAACCGGACAAACATTTATTTAGATGGAAAACATTTCACAGCTCATCCAAGCTGCTTCTTCAGTGTTTGAGTTGTTCTCAAGACGTGTGAAGAATCCCTCAGTCGTCCAGGTGTCATGGATTCTACCTGAACGACTGAGGGATTCTCCACACACTGGTCGGAAACGGTAGGAAAACAGAGCCAAAACCTGAGGGACACGTCACAGCAACATCACGAACCTCTGAGGACGAGGAGCAGGGAACGGAACAAACTGTCAGGACGAAAACAAAACCTCAGTCTGAAAACAGAACAGAAATATCTGGGTTTGATGTGACGTCACAGGGCGACGTTTGTCAGCGCAAAATCAGACGGAGGGAAGGAAGTGAACCGACTGGAGGAAAATGTCGATGTGTTGTGTAGTTTACGACTGTGCCAATCGTTCTAACCGAGAGAAAGAAAAGACTTTTTTTTTTTTTAGAGAACCGAATATAGTCGTCCACAAAGGTCAGAAACGGGAAAAGCCGACAGAACAACACCGTAAAAAGTGGATTATAAACCTGTTTGTGTCGGGAGGAGCAGAATTCACTAACGCTCGTGTCTGCAGTGACACTTCAACAAAGGTTTGTTACAAAGATAAATAGTTTTTTGTGGTTTACCTAAACATAAACGAATCATTAACGACTAACGACGTTTGTTGACATTAAATAGTTCAGATAAATCGGTCACTGTCGATACACTGCAGTTTTTCCCATAACGTCGATACACATAAAATAAGAGAAACACTCACCCCGGCCAAGACCAAACATCATCATCATTTAGACGTTTTGCACCGAGGTTGAGGACACATCCACTCACAAAAAAAGTTCTATTCCTCCAAACTTTTGTACTTTGCCTTCATCTGTTGTCTGCTGTAGAACGACGTCTGAAGAGATCAATACTTCATGATCTCCTCTGCCTCGATTGTCGGCAAATCTTTTACTTCGGTTGAAAATTCTCTCATTTTCAATAAGATCAGGGTCACGCTAGGGCTGGGCCATATGGATCAAAAAATATATCTCGATATATTTTGCTATATCTCGATATACGATATATATCTGGATATATGTTCAAGAAAAAATAATCCCCTAAAACTGTAAACTGCAAAAACAAATCTGCCAAATTCCACAAGGTCCTTTTTTTTAAATTGAAGTGTAAGAGGTCGACAGTTTAACATTTAAGAACATTTAAGATGACAAAAAACCCTAATTACATAAATAATAATTTAACTGTAAAATAACATAAATAAAACATATTTTCTTCTTTTCATTCATAAATAAAACAACTCAACACAAGTTCATCTTTGCATTAACTCTGTTATCCAGACCAGAACCAGAACCAGAACCATGAGCTCATTTAGCAGAAGAAGCTCAGGATGTTCCTTATTTCAACAGATCCATGTTCTTATCCAGCAGTGAGGATCTGAGGTTTAATCCCACAATCCACTGCATCAAACCCAACGATTCCAAACACTGTTGTACAAGTGACACTGCAGCAGATTATTAATTTAAATATTCTGCATAAATAAACTTTACATGACTAAACTTTACAATATATAAAACATAACGACTCTAGAGCCTCATCAGCCTGTTTGAGATAATCATGTGTTTAATTCAGTTTTGCTCACGTGTGTTTACATTTTACAGAAACGAAACTTAAGTTCATGTCTCATTTGCATAAACAGCACTTCTCCTGCAGCTCAGCTCGTTCAGCTTCTTTCAGACTAAAGGACGCGACTCGATGGAACATGAGGATGTTCTGCTGATGTTCTTGTCTGTAAATGGTGGAAAAGGTTCATGGGGCTTGAAGTTTTTCACTGGCACCAACTTTCAGCGTTTACAGCGACAGTGACGAGTGAAGGAGACACGAGCAACAACATCAGGGAGACGACGAGAGAGAAACAAACAAGTGAAGCGGCGAAATCAGAACTGAATATAAGCATTATATCGATATATACGATATGTCAGAATTCATATCGAGTTTAAAAACTATCTCGATATATTTAAAATATCGATATATCGCCCATCCCTAGGTCACGCCCAATATATTTGTGGACTAACTGCTCGTACTTTTGCCTTGTTACTGGCTCTAAATCCTGACAATAACAACTCTTCTCCATATCTGTGTTCTCCTGTCGTGTTTGTTTGTCGTGTTTGTTTGTCGTGTTTGTTTGTCGTGTTTGTTTGTCGTGTTTGTTTGTCGTGTTTGTTTGTCGTGTTTGTTTGTCGTGTTTGTTTGTCGTGTTTGTTTGTCGTGTTTGTTTTCACTTCCTGCCCTCCGCCTGAAATTCGCGCATCATCGTGATCACGTGACTGAAACCCTCCTGTTACCAGGAGACCACATGAACCTGCAGATGTATTTCCTGTTTTCCTGCTGTTTTCAGTAAACCTCTGCTCCTCTGAGCTTCACCGAACAAACCCGCTCAGTCTGAGACTCGCACAGGTGAGTTTTTACCTGAGACGTGGGCACGAAGCCGTAGACGGCAGGAGTCACATTGGGATGATCCGAGAGAGACAAGTGCTCCAGAAACGGCCCTGAAACCAGAACAGGCACAAGTGAAAGTTCACTCACGGAAAAAGATATCGAACTATTGTAATTTTTCTGACGAGCATTTCAACTGAGATTAATAAAAGGATTCAGTTCAAATTCATATTTTAAACACAGACAGAAGAATTGACCAAAAAACTGAAACCTGACAAACAAATCAAGAATCAAGAATCACATTTCAGAACATGTTTGAACAGAACAATTTTAAAGCAGAAAAAGACACCAGATTTTAATATTTGTGAAAGAAATGATGGTATTTAAAAATGTCTGCCTTTGTTGACTGACAGTTTAAAATCACAAATGTACCAATTTTTTCCCCTTTCGTCCTTTTTTCTATTAACATGTATCTGTGTCTGGTCAAGTGTTAACGGAGGAAACAGGGTCAGATTTTTGACATTCAAATGTCTCTTCTTCAGAAACTAGAGGAACTATTGAAATAAGTAAAGTATCAGAATGTAGGAAAGAGTTACACTCCAACAGGGTCAAGTTAAACCTGTCAGATTCTTTCAAGTTCAAGACAAAACATTTAAAAACTCATGTCGGTAACGGAGGGAATGAAATACAATAAATCCAAACAGTGATAACTCTTGGTTCTCACTTCCATATCCTGAAAAACTGGTTTGAATATTTGCTTCATATAGTTTTCTACCATATGGTACAAGATTAGGTTGAAAAACCTCTGACTTTTTGACTCATGAGATTTTTTATTAAGAAAGTTCATGGTAACGGAGGGAAAAGTAACGGAGGAAAATTGTACAAACAAGTAGAAGGTGCAGGATTTTACATCATTTGTGGCTTTTTTCTTCTGAAAACTTTAATATTACTTCAAAATGAAAGAAACTATTTCTATAAAATATGTCAGTCCTTCCAAGAACATTTTTATCATTTTAAATACTTTTTTTTTTTTTTTAATCCTGTCCCTTCATCAACAGTTCAAAGATGGAATAACACAAGATATGATGAAATACAAACATTTATTTACATGATTTTTGGGTCTTTGAAATTTGGGAAATAATTTTTGTTCCATGTTTCATTCATGGTCTGTTTAAAACGGATGGAACTTTAGAACCAAAAACGGTCCAGAAAAAAGGTGAACAGTTTGATAAACTCGAGTACATATGTATCTGTTCAATACACTTTTATATCAGATGAATTCACTGGAAGTTTTGGTCTTGATGTTTACTTCTGTTTGACCAGGATCATCTCTATTAAAGTACTGAAATTTTCTTTTTTCCCCCTATTATTCCGTTTATAATACAAAGTAAAATATAAAATAAAATGAAAAAAACAAGAAAAAAACTAATATTTGAACATTTGAGTAGCAGTTTTTTTTTTGTTTGTTTTAATTTTTCGAGTGTTAATAAAGTCTTTCTGTGGTTTCCAGTTTTCCTCACACCCGTCGTTTTCTAATCTTTGTGTGATTGTCAGTTTTTCCATTTGTCAAACATAATCCTGCAGTTTTACTGTGTGTTTTTCTGCCCATAGACCAACATGAATCTACATCAGGGGCGGGTAATTCTTTTCTTTTTCATAGAACTATTCTGTTGTTCATTTCTTGTTTTTTTTGTCTGTCTAAATTTTTTAAAATGCACAATAAAAATAATAATAATCGATGTAAAACAAAAAGTATTTGGGTGGACGCAGAAATGAGACAAACTAAATCAGAAACAGTGAAGAAACACAAACGTTCAGATGATCACAGAAAGATTGTGTCACTTTAGATCAGGGGGGCACTTATTTTTTCCACATGAGAAACAGAAAATATTGTAGATGCCAAAAACTCAATTCTGCAAAATATTAATTGTATTTCTTCATTAAAAAACCATAAATCTCATTGTTTTGTGGAGCTGCTCAGACGGGGAAGTGTTTATGTTTGACTCAGCGATAAAAAAGTGAAACTGATGAACAAAAAATGTCATTAAAAAAAAAACTCTAAAATGAAGCAACGCAGCTTTAGTCCAGGCATGAGGTCAGATTATAACATATGTTTATTTTGTGATTCCAAGTGAGCTGCACAAGGCCCAGGTCTGTTCTTGAGGCGCCTTAATGGAACCATATTTTTTTCTGATCAATGTTTTAACGTCGTTTCCTCGTCACAAACAGAACCGGAGCTGTGTTTTGTTTCATTCACACGTTTATCTCACAAAACCTGCACATTTATACTGATTTTCTTAAATGGAAAACACCTTTTGACGTCACGTGGTTAAACTCCATCTATCTTCTCTAGAATCATTTGGATATTTCTGCCCTGGAATTCCCAATCTCAAGGTAGAACGGAGCTGTTCACTCGTAAACTACCTCCGCATGACATCACGAGGTGGAGCGGAGCGTTTGGAGCTTTGGAGCTTTGGACAGATTAAACACGTGCGACTGAAACTAAACAAATAAAAGTGCAGGTGTGTTTTTGGAGCAGGTAACGGACTCAAAACTCACGGGAGTCAGTTTCAGACGTTTCAAAAGTGGGACGTTCTCTAAATAATGACGTGAAATGTGAAATACGTGTTGGGAAGGTTACTTTTAAAATGTAATCCCCTACAGATTACAGATTACATACCCCAAAATGTAGTTTGTAATGGAATCCATTAAATTACTTAAGGTGAGTAACGTAATCTGATTACTTTGGATTACTTGATATTGTTGTGCTTTTTAAAACGACATGAATGTAACAAACACGTCCTGATAGAAAAATGATTTTTATACAAGATCATTGCTGCCTTCAGTTATGTTCACACTAGTGTTAGTGTCATATTGTTTAGTCCTGGTTTAGTCCTGGTTTAGTCCTGGTTTAGTCCTGGTTTAGTCCTGGTTTAGTCCTGGTTTACACCTGGTTTAGACCTGGTTTAGACCTGGTTTAGTCCTGGTTTAGACCTGGTGGTTTAGACCTGGTTTAGTCCTGGTTTAGACCTGGTGGTTTAGATCTGGTTTAGTCCTGGTTTAGTCCTGGTTTAGTCCTGGTTTAGATGGTTTAGACCTGGTTTAGTCCTGGTGGTTTAGACCTGGTTTAGATCTGGTTTAGTCCTGGTTTAGTCCTGGTTTAGACCTGGTTTTAGACCTGGTGGTTTAGACCTGGTTTAGTCCTGGTGGTTTAGACCTGGTTTAGTCCTGGTTTAGTCCTGGTTTTAGACCTGGTGGTTTAGACCTGGTTTAGTCCTGGTTTAGACCTGGTGGTTTAGACCTGGTTTAGACCTGGTGGTTTAGTCCTGGTTTAGTCCTGGTGGTTTAGACCTGGTTTAGTCCTGGTTTAGTCCTGTTTTAGACCTGGTTTTAGACCTGGTGGTTTAGACCTGGTTTAGTCCTGGTTTAGACCTGGTGGTTTAGTCCTGGTTTAGACCTGGTGGTTTAGACCTGGTTTAGTCCTGGTTTAGTCCTAGTTTAGTCCTGCTTTTAGTCTTGGTTTAGTCCTGGTTTTAGTCCTGGTCCAAAACGTGAAAACAGGAAAATCCTGCCGTGTAATCCATTTATTTCAACAAAGTAACTGTAATCCAATTACTACTCACTGACACAGTAACTGTAACTGAATACAGTTACTCATCATTTGTACTCTGATTACTCCGGTACATGTAATCTGTTACTCCCCAACACTGAATACGTGAGATAATAAACATAAATGCTGTGAGTTTAAGGCTGTTACCTGCTCCAGAAACACACCTGCACTTTTATTTGTTTCTGTCCAAAGCTCCAAACGCTCCGCTCCACCTCGTGATGTCATGCGGAGGTAGTTTACGAGTCAACAGCTCCTTTTACCTTGAGATTGGGAACAGATTAAACACGTGCGACTGAAACTAAACAAATAAAAGTGCAGGTGTGTTTTTGGAGCAGGTAACGGACTCAAAACTCACGGGAGTCAGTTTCAGACGTTTCAAAAGTGGGACGTTCTCTAAATAATGACGTGAAATGTGAAATACGTGTATGTGCGTCCCCAGCCTCTGACCGGCTCTGGGCCACTCCGCGCGGGCCTCCAGCAGCAGCACGTCCCGCAGTTGGCTCCGGAGGCTCTGGTTCTCTCTCCGGGTGCGGGCCGCCTCCTCCCGGTACTCGGTGACCGCCTCCTCCACCACCCGCAGGATCTCCTTCACCACCTCCGTCAGGTAGGCTCCGAGCAGCTGCAGCCCGCTCATGATCAGCTCCTCCCGGGGCCGGACACGGAGCAGAGACACCGGGGCAGAGACACCGGGGCAGCGACACCGGAGCAGCGACACCGGAGCAGCGACACCGGAGCAGCGACACCGGGGCGGACACGGACACGGCGCCGGGACCGGAACAACAACAAACCACACCGGAAAAGCCCGCAGACCTCCGCAGTAAAAGCACGCGCTCGCATCCGCTTACAAATTAAAAGATTAAAAAATAAAATAAAACAGAATGGCTCAATTAAAAAAAAAAATAATAAATACGCCCAATGGTGTATAGTCTAATGCTTATATATGTTTTGAAATTCCCAATTAAAATAAGTTTAATAAAAAAAAAAAAATAATACATACAGAATGAGAAATAATGTAATATTTCAATGCAATTAGATTAGATTAAATTAGATTAAGCTTCATTGTCATTACCCATGTATAAATACAAATGAACGAAATGTGGTTTAGCATCAAAAGTGCAACGAGCAACAAGTGCGATATATACAGAATGTGTAGTATATACAGAATGTGTAGTATATACAGAATGTGTAGTATATACAGAATGTGTAGTATATACAGAATGTGTAGTATATACAATATAGACAGTATAAAGTATATTACAGTGTAAAATAGATTGTAGTGAATATATACAAATAAATATGCAGTATGAACATGAGGGAATTAGGTATAATAAACATGGGGGAGATAAAAACAGATGTATTATAAACAATATATACTATAAACAAATATACATGGTGTGCTATTGAAAATATAAATATACATGACATACATAAATGAGCAAAAGATATACAGGAACAGGTGCGCTGTAAATAAATAAATATAAAGTTATGTTTCAGGTGCAATATGAATGAATGAATGAATTAATGTAATACATAGAACATATATAAAAAACGTAAATACATAGATATAACACAAAAAGTATCTATAGTAGTCTTTCTATTCTATAATAATAGGCAAAAATAAATGTTACGCCGATTTTCCTTGTGTTCGAAAAAGGAGTGGGAGGAAGTAAATACTTATTTAAGCCCACCCCTTTTTTCTACTGTCCCAAATTAACAAAGAACATACAGACTTCTCATTTCCTGTACAATATAAGCAGTAATTGCCCAGTACCTACATTGCATTACAAATCTAACAACAACAACAAATATATGTACATTATGTACACAGATACAGTACACATCATGAACATGTAAGCTTGATAAACAGAAGACTACAGCTGGGGGTAAAAAAACAAAAACAAAACAAATCCTAAAACAAAGATGTTAAAAAATAAATAAAAATCACATTTTGTAACCTGCATCTAACATTTAAACTACAATTCTCACAGGTTAATCAATCACATCTTCATTATTATCCTTTATTATTACGTCATATCTCACGCCCTGTTTCCTATTGGTTGGGATCATTTCTGGTTAAATCTGATTGGCTGTGGTTCTCCAAGGGCGGGAAGAAAACAGTTCATCATTGGCGCCTCTCAAAGAAAAAAAACAAAAAACGTCTAAAACTTGGTAATAATCAGTTTTATTGTGGAAATTCTATTCAACAACTGTGTCAATGTTCAGGTCAAGTCTTATTTTCTATTTTACTTGTGTGTTTCTGTGGTTGAACCGTTGTTGTTCCGTTGTTGGGCGCAGGTCTCGGGGTGAAGTGCCGTTCGGAGCTTGTGTCTGGTCCCGTTTTTGTCCGTAGAGCCGAAGTTCTGACCCGGTTCTGCCGCAGAGCCGTGGTTCTGACTCGGTTCTCACCCGGTTCTGCCGCAGAGCCGTGGTTCTGACTCGGTTCTGACCCGGTTCTGCCGCAGAGCCGTGGTTCTGACCCGGGAAGCCCAGTCCTCCTGTCGCCGCGGGAGCAGAGCAGAGATGATCCGCCTGCTGACGCCTCCGTCCGGACACTGGTCACGACGCTCCTCGGTGAGTCCAGCAGGCGACCATTTTATAAAATCTCACAAACGTTTATTATTAGAAATAAAATTAATCAATTATATAAAGTGGGGTTATAATACAAAATATACTTTTCTGAGCTCCTATGGCTTATTCTAGATGTTTCCTAACTACTTAAGTATTTCATTCTGATATTTACTTTGTTTAGCTAATACTTTTGAACTGTTGTGCATGTACGTGTAATGTTTGGGGATAATCCTGCTTTTGGTTTTTTGTGTCAGTGGGATAAATTTGTTTTAATATTATCGTCTCTGTTTTCATCAGAGTAAATCACACTTTGAAGGTTGTTATAGTGACAGGGCCTGCAGTGAGGAGACACATGATTCAGTTTGTTTTGAGATTCTAATGAGTTTTTAAAGTTTCTGCTTCTGAAAAACACTGAACTGGATAAACCTGCAGAGGGCAGCAGAGGGCAGCACAAAAACAACCAGAGCCTCACAGGAACTTCCCTTTTTATTCTGTCTGTGGGCGTAAAACACCACAGACCAAAACTGCACGAGAAGTGTTTTTTTAACAAAAGTGTTTATTTTACAAGAGGGAAATGGTTTGTGTCGTCGTCAAATCTTACAGAATTTTCAGGCAGCGAACGTCAGTGAAGAGACTTTGTTTATTCTGAAGTGTTATTTTATTCTACTGTGGTAGAGTTTTCTAGAACAACAGGTGCCCAGAGCCCAGTGTCTCCAGACCAGAGCCCTGACCTGAGCCACAGACTCTGACCTGAGCCACTGACCTGAGCCACACACTCTGACCTGAGCCTGACCTGAGCCCCAGACTCTGACCTGAGCCACAGACTGACTGACCACTGACTGAGCCACACTGACCTGAGCCACTCTGACCTGACCACTCTGACCTCTGACCTGAGCCACACACTCTGACCTGACTGACCTGACACTGACCTGACTGACCTGAGCCACAGACTCTGACCTGAGCCACACACTCTGACCTGAGCCCCAGACTCTGACCTGAGCCACACACTCTGACCTGAGCCCCAGACTCTGACCTGTTTCATTCGTGTCTCTGGTCGTATCCCAGAAGTCTTTGCGGTGGAGCAGAGGAGCCAGAGCAGAAAGTTCAAGTTGTTTTATTCTTAAGAATCAAAGGTTGTTTTTTTGTTGTTGTGTTTTTTTAAATAAAGCTGAAAGTGTCACATCTTCATAATCCAGACACATTTTACAAACACCGTTGTTATATTTTGTATTTTATTTGATTATGTTATTGATTGATTGATTGCATTTATACAGCGCCTTTCAAGATCCCCAAAGCTCTTTACACTTCATTCTTCAGTCTCTCCACACTCTGTGGTGTAAACTACTACTGTAGCCACAGCTGCCCTGGGACAGACTGATTCAGATTAAACCTACAGATTCTTAACGTCTGATTACAGATGTGCAAAGACAAAGAGCCGTGTTCATCCAGACGCAGAAACAGAAGTTCTCCTGTGACTGGAATCGATCAAGAGTGGAAAGAGAATGGAACACTTCTGCTTCAGTAAATCTACATTTACATGAGTAAGTAAAAGTATGAAAATATTACATTTCTCATTCACCTTTTTCTCCGGGGCAGTGTTTTCCAAACAGAGGTTCAGGGATCTTCCTCATCTCCTTTTTCACATTGTGTACGGCTTCAACTAATGATTGTTTTGCAAATCAATTAATCTATTAAATGTTTAAATTATGGATTAATCTAGAGTCGCAAAAGCCTCTGAATTTGGGATTAAAATGTTACTCAGAAAAATCTGAAGTGAAGCTGCGTATTTCCTCCAGTGTCGTTTGTTTGTGACTCTGCTCTGCCCGAGTCCTCAAACCTCTGCAGCTCGTCACACGTTCTGGAGCCTAAACCAGTTCACGATTATTTGATCACTAAAACAGTTGACTGTTATTTAAATAATCGATTATTGTGATTAATCGATGAAGTTGCTGCTGCTCTGTCACTGCGACTGAAGCTTCATGTGACAATCGGAAATGAACTCAACATTTGTGTTTTCTGCAGCTGCTTCAGAAATGATTTAGTTTGTCTCATTTTTGTGCAATGTCACTTTAACTGATCCGTCTCTAGATTAAACTGCTGCTCCGTACGCGTACAACAGTTTGAGAAACACTGGTATAAACTGCTTGTGTTCAGCCAATCAAACATTTTAATGACTTATTAGTTCCTAATGTAAACTTTACTACACAGTCACTGTTTGTGTTACACTAATGTGAAGTCCGGGTCTGGTCTAGTCCTGGTTTAGACCTGGTCTAGTCCTGGTCTAGTCCTGGTCTAGTCCTGGTTTAGACCTGGTTTAGACCTGGTTTAGACCTGGTTTAGACCTGGGTTAGTCCTGGTTTCTAGAGTCTGTGTGGTGCATTGTAAGATTTTGCTCCATCAGCAGAAAACCACAGGAAGCCACTCAACAGCAGCTCTGCCCCGCCACAATAAAAGCACAATGTAAGAGACAGAGATTATATGATATTATATGATACTAGGAGGAAGAGAGGAGGACAGAGGAGGAAGAGAGGAGGACAGAGGAGGAAGAGAGGAGGACAGAGGAGGACAGAGGAGGACAGAGGAGCAGAAAGATGCTGTGGTTAAATCTCCCAGGAAACAGGAGGCCCAGAGGAAAACAAAAGAGGAGATTTAATGATGTAGTGAAAGAGAAAGTGAACAGAGGGACAGAGGAGCAGAGGAACAGAGGGACAGAGGAGGAGAGGAGCAGAGGGACAGAGGGACAGAGGACAGAGGACAGAGGGACAGAGGGACAGAGGGAGAGGGAACAGAGGAGAGAGGAGAGAGGACAGAGGGAGAGGACAGAGGGACAGAGGAGAGAGGAGCAGAGGGAGAGGAGAGGACAGAGGACAGAGGAGAGCAGAGGGAGCAGAGGAGAGGGCAGAGGACAGAGGGACAGAGGAGACAGAGGAGAGGACAGAGGAACAGAGGAGAGGGAGAGGACAGAGAGGGAGAGAGAGACAGAGGAGCAGAGGGACAGAGGACAGAGGAGGAGACAGAGGGACAGAGGAGAGGACAGAGGAGCAGCAGAGGAGGAGAGAGGGACAGAGGAACAGAGGAACAGAGGAGGAGAGGAGCAGAGAGGAGGACAGAGAGGACAGAGGACAGAGGAGCAGAGGAGACAGAGGAGGAGAGGAACAGAGGGACAGAGGAGGAGAGGAACAGAGGGACAGAGGAGGAGAGGAACAGAGGACAGAGGACAGAGGAACAGAGGGACAGAGG